GGTAGTATAGAGGAAGAAAGAGAGAGGGAGGGAGAGTTGAGGGAACGATCGAGCATCTCCCAAATGCGAATGGCTGAAGGGACTGCAAGTGTTACTGTTGCCTATTCTTCGGAGGATTATCTGGAGACGCGTATAGGGCCGGTCCCCATTGTTTAAAGCTATGGCTGTAATTCAGGGCTACTCGCAGTGCCGTCCTCTGGCTCAAGCTCAAAGTCTCTGTGCGCGTGTAACAACAGAGTGGTGTGTATATACTGTGAGATAACCCGATTGAAATCGATTTCCTCCCAAGCCCCAATAGATCGGATTTCGGATTGTTTATCGAACATCACCACAAATCAAAATTCTCAGATTTAAAAAATTCATCTCATCTAAAACGGGTTTTGCACTTATCGAGGAATAAACGGTTTCAAATGAGTTTTCGCGAGGGACAAAAGCGAACCGAGCGTCGAATGGCCAATGGGCAGTAAAGCTATTGACTATCTTCAAAGCAGCTCTCTGAAATAAATGAAAGCCAAACAAAAGAAGCGTAGCCAATCGTTATCACGTCCACTATAATTTACCTTCAATGGTCTATTAAGCTTTCCCTCTCTCTCTAGCGACGACCAACCGGTTAATCGTTTTCCCTTACAGTCGGCGCGTTGAATCGGACTCTCTCTGAATAAATTAACCCACCGTATAATTAAATAACGAAGTTCTCCGTCCCTCTCTTTTCCCGTCCATCCACGAACACACTTGGTCCAATACACTTTGGGCAAACACACTCGCAGGGGGTGCCGGAGGAAGAGGTAGAGCTCCTCCAATCCAATCAAACATTTATGCTAAATCACGAAACAATCTGAACGCAATCAGCAAATAAAAGCAGAACAAAGAAGAGCACCACCTTAAGCCCCGCTGCTGACGTTGTTGGTCATTTGACTCTCCTATTTACTTTCTCGGACAACTTTCGGCCGGACAAAAACTTGATGGACATTCCACGCCGGACAAAAGACCCGCCAGAGATTTTCGAGTGCCCCTTGCGCCTGCTCCCAGCCACTGGCTATGTAAATTCTTTGAAGAGCCGAGCCAGCGAGCGTCATTTGCATGGGTCGCGTATTTTACGCAGGCGAATGGACAGCGAGAGAGAGAGAGAGACGTGAGATCGAGGGAGGGGTCATATCGCCCGACGCCCCCGTCAGCTGGCGTTTTCGCGTTGATTGCCCTCGTTTATTAAGATTAAAACTTTTCTCCAAAGAAAAATTTCGCTCGCACGTTAGTCCGCTGCAGTTCAATATCGTTAAGCCTCTGCGAATATTTTAGATGGTCTAGTGTCTAAATCTCAATGTGGTAAAATTTGGTAAGTATGGTTAATCGTAAATAAAATTCCAGCCAAGTCATGTTAAACGAAAAAAAAAACAAAAAAAAAAAAACGAGCTTTTGTCAGAGATCTAAATCATTCAATCAAGCTCTCCATTTCGAGAAACTTGACATCCCCTCTCTGACTACGCGTTATTTTACCAAGTAGTTCTGAATTCACGTAATCGAAGCTAGATTTTCTCGCGAGCGCGCATGCACATCCCCGCATTGGAAAATAATCATTTGACAGCCTGCTGACACTCCCACCTCTCTTTCTCCCTTCTAGCTTCAATTTCAATATATACACACACACACGCGCGCAAAAGCCACTCGGTTATATAATGCAATGCTTGATTACATCGCTGCTGCTGTCGCGCTCACACCCCCTCGCGGAATAAAGTGTTCATCATTTATCAAACTCAAAGCCCGTCAGCGGCGCCGGCGGACACGTGCCTTTCTCTCGTTTACTTTTCCTTTCTCTCTCTCTCTCTCTCTCTCCTGTTTCTCTCGTTCGTCGCCAGCTCTATTTTCATCTCTGCGATTTGTATTATTCTTATCGCGGTCCTTTGCGCTCGCGCTCAATTATTCATCTGTCAGATTACCGAAGAGCGGAATACACGGGATCGATGACAAATAATACGTGCTTTCGCCTAGTATGCGCGTAGACCCATATTCGGAATAATATAACGATCGGTATGTGTATATTCCACCTACAATGTATTTTCTATTCAAATTCGTTCTGTGAATTCTAACAACACTTGATCATCGCTGCTGCCTTAAATTATCTTATTACCAACCAAGCTTAGTTTGTACCAAAAAATCGCATCATATATCCACCACTTGTTTTGTGATGGACTTGGAAAATAATAACTGTCCACGCACTTGTAGTGCACGTGCATAAGCCCCCATTGTGTGCACTCGCTTAGTCGATCCAGGCACAGTGGTGCACTAAAGAGTAGTACACATGCATACGTTCTTTACCGATCCCACGACACGAGCTATAAAAAGAGAGCCCAGATTGGCCAACCATCAGAAAAAAAGGGTTAGTTGTATGGAGAAAGCAGGCCTCAGGTTTAAAACTCGAAAAGTACTTGTATCCACCGAGCAAAAAAGAGAGAAAGCAGAAAGAAGTGGGAGTTCGAAAAAAGGAGGATAGGGTCCGCAAAGCAAGTACGAAACATTGGAACGGAGTAAAAGTTGGAAGGATTTAGCGAACTCGTCAAACGAAGGGGGTGGGTTTTCGCGAGGCGATTAGATTTTCAAACGAAATCCATGTGCTTGCACGGGCAAATTGTTCATGGTTCGAGAGCGGATTTTTTTTCTCTCTCTTCTGCACTGCTCCCTCTTTCCGGCTTTTTTTTATTTGCTGCCTGCACATGGAGCTGTTGCGTCGAGGTCGGTCGAGGGAAGGGTGGGTGGAGAGGGTGGGCCCTGAAGCGAGTGCGTTTTTTAACGTAGATCAAATGCATTTCACTTGCGAAAGCTGGAACGGGACGAATAATGAAAGAGAAAATCTGGGCAGGGGCTGGGGATCGAGGGAGGAATTAGCGGTCTGGTAAATAGAACGGGAGCAAGTACAAGCCGTGCTGAAAGAAAAAAATTTTTGAACGCAGTCGTGAGTCATTCTTGTTTAAGATGATATTTTTATTTGTGGCTTATGCCATGCCAACGGTACTGCAGTGCATTGTGCACTAGAGTAAATTGACAAAATGTTTCTTCAAGGAATTTTTTGCAATGAGTTGAAATTTAAACCAGTATTATTTCACGGGGATACGTTTCGATTGACTTTGAATAGAAATTCAATCGTGCATACATGTACATTTATTTGAAAACCAATCTATTGTACTTCTTAAACCATACCAAGGATGAAAAGAACGGGTTGAAGTGGCATCGATTGAAGAAACAAAGGGACGGTATGCGACTTGTACAAAGAGATAATTTAAAAAGCTGCAGGCAGGCGTACCTTGCATTTGGTGTACGCGTAGGCTGTGCGTCTCGAGAGCTAATTAGAACACAATGAAGAGCGAACCGTTTAAGCTGAAAATCAAAGTCTTTGGAGTCATTCGCTACTTACAAATTGTGTAGGGCTCTCAGAGCTACTGCGTATTTTTCACCCTTTGATACTTTTTGTTGCCTTAAGTCTCTTTTTATTTTTAAATTTATTCTTTGACAGAAAAGTATTCCAGTGTACATTATGTTTTGATTTGAGTTTTTCTGAATTTTTCTAATTTTTTTTTTTATGAACTCCGTGTAATAAAAATGGAAAAACAGCAAGGAAAAAGAGAATTTGAAAAATGAAATATTTAGAAATTACGAAGATACTGAAATTGAAAGATATAATTTTATGGAGAAAAAACATTCTCGTCACGTGAAAAATACAAATTCAACTCAACAACAATAAATTACACAAAAGTTGAAGAATATTAGATAAAATTTCATTATAATCTTCATAAAATAGAACTTAAACGCAGCGTAGAATCAAATGAAAGCCTTGAAGCGTCAGAGTGACATGAGCACACACAGTGCCCCGACCCACTTCGAGCTTTTATTTCGCCAAAAAGACTGGAGAACACTTGGAGACGCATCGCAACGAAGTGATACCGAGGCGCTCGCAAGCAAACCTTCTGTCCCTCTCTCAATCTGAGCCTGGGTCCTCTACTTTTTTTTTTCTCTGGCACTCGATGAAAATCATCGTTCGTCGATCAACAGCGAGACAAGGATCGGGGTGGAGGATTACGCCTCGTAAAAATAAGTGGAACGCAAAATGTCACCAGAAGAGCTTCAAGAGTCTCGATGAAAGAAAGGGAGAGAGAGAGAGAGAGAGAGAGAGAGAGAGAGAGAGAGAGAGCGAGGAGCACTTCGTTCGGCTGCGATTTAATTCGAAGAGAAAAGTGAACGAATGGAGTGAGGAGTAGGCAGTGGTGAACAAGGATCGGACGAGATGAATTTCAAAGGCTCGCTGTAATGCTCAATCCTGCGTTTGTGCAAATGCGAACTGACGACGATGTCAACAGGTTCACGATCTGATCCCTGTAAAAAGGGAGAATAGTTCGAGGCGTCTCTTTTGACTGCACTTGTGGCTTTTATTTTTTGTATTCCAAATCAACTCATTGCTATTGTCATTTATAATATAAGCCGCATAAGTACTGCTTTGTATGATTAATCTAATGTTTTCTGACCATGGTTTTTATTCAATGTGAAATGATCCAATACGATGTTACCTATAATGATTTAAGTTCAGCTCCATGTGAATTATCAAAAAATCTAATAGAATGTATCCAACACTAAACTAAAAATTCATAAATGCCAAAACAGTGATATTAAGTAATAAATCACGTGAATTGTAAAGAGAAGAGTGAGGGGGCGACTCGCATCCCATCTTCGATACCGACCAGTCTTCAAGCTCCTCTCTCCTTCAAGTATGCTGGTCTTGGGTGCTAAAATCTGAAACCGTAAACACTGACCGCGACATAAAACTTTGACGAAATCCTGCCTTCTAGTCATAAGGCAAACAGCTTTGATCCTCTTCTTCGATCCTCAAACGTCCTCGAACGCGTACGCGCAACCTAAATCACCACTACTTACATTTGTACGTTCATAGGCGCGGTTTTCGGAGGAATTTTCAAGAGGAGACATCGTTGTAAAACGTAGTCACCGGAGAATGTTACCAGCCAGTGCGGGCTGTTGTATCTGAGGCTGCGGTTGGTTGTCATCGCCGCGATTCTCCTGTATTTGGCTATCAGGCGACAGCTGCGTTTCGTCTCTTCGCTCGCGGTTAGCCTCATCGTTATCCTTTTTGATATCTGCGTCTCAAACAAAGTGCACTTTCGTGGTGGTGGTGGAGCAGTGGTGCCTGGGATTATGGTGACTGTAAGGTTCATACCCTTAGCGAGAGCTTAGTCAAGCTTATTGAAGACGATGAGTTAGTCATATCGTGGTTTGAAATGATTGTTAGAAAAATATGAAAAAACAAATTATCGAAGATAAGTGACAGTATCGGTAACGTCTTATTGTTTAATCCAAGGTAGTAAAGATCAAGCCCAACGATCACACGAAGCGGCGCTGTAATTCCTTGGCATCCACTTTGCTTCTCACGGCGAGCAATTAGGCGAGCGAATGCCAAATGAAAACGTCAAAGCCCTCCTGAATCACGAGCTCCTAACTCTCGGGCGTCACTAGGCTCTGTAGTCAATAAGATTTCACATGCTGGCGGAGTGCACGATGTAACGTACAAGCGATTACACGTACGCCTATAGTCGTTGTCATCACCAGTAGCGCTAAGCATCGTCGTCGTCGTCGTCGAGGCGGGTTCGTGAATTAAGTCTAAAACCGCAGACTCGTAACTAAGGTCCAGCCGGAAGTCTAGAGCAACGGCAGTAGTTGCAGCAGCACGTGTACGCGCGCAAGCTGTAGTATATATACGTGCCGCAAATGAGTAATGCGAGATGAGGGAGACTGTGGTAATTATTAATTGCTGTACGGCAGAGGAAGGTGGGTCGGCTGCTGTGGCACTGCTGTATCCAAGTGCATTCGTCAGTGATCGGTAATATTGGTAATGGCATGCGGTACACGGCTACTGTACATCATAACGCCGTTGGAATATTATGGACCCGAGCTTTGAATTATGTTGCATCCCTGTGTTGGTGGAATCGTATGACTTGAGCGCACGTGTGGAATTTTGGAAGCCTCCTCGATTTACGGGAATCGGTTCTACGTGCGGATGGCATATGTTTGACGATAATTGCAAGTGCTGCTACTTTGCCAAAAATGTTTACGCACGCATATGATCAAGTATTATTGCTTTTTAATTGTTGGGGGTGTGAAAATAAATGTCGATGCTTGGGATTCGGAAAGGGGATTGTTTTGATACATACTATTGTTATTGTTATGTTGTCATTTTTTATCCACATGGTTAATTTTCTTAAAGACCTAACGAACTGTATTTTTACGTGATTTGAAAAATATTAAACTGGAATTGAGTAATGCTCATGCCTTACGTGTAAAACAACGTGTTGACAATACACCAGTTGTCACAGTTCAGTGACGGAAATACCAATGCTTGTTGAAGTTAATAAAATGGAAAAATATTTGCTAAGCTCGTTTTTATTTCTATGTCTTTTTCCTGATTATAATTTCGTTTTCAAATATTTTTCCAGTGAAAACTATCGCGATTAATGATACCTTCCAGAACAAATCGCATCGTTTTGGGATTCCCATATTCATCCACAAAAGCCGAGATCTCGTACAAAAGCCAATATCTACCCATCGGTCAGAGTGCACTTAAACAAATACCGCGTGATCGACGATCCCTCTATCAAATCACACTTAGAAGAGCCAGCCACGACCCCTGCCCACACGAAGTACTAAATCCCTCTATTCTGTCTCTCTGGCTACACTGAATACAAAATGAGAAACAAATTTACGCAACTGCAGCAACGGGCTTCAATTAATTTTCCATCTAGGCGTCTTTGCTGCTGTTACTATTTGCTTTGTACGTGTATGTGTATAATACATCAGCTCGGACTCGATATACGACGGACGATGACCCAGGAGAGAGTACGCGCGAATGTATCTATAGGTATACACACGTATATTTATAGAATTGAGCGCGGCATGTGTCCATCGTACATACAATAGCAAACCTATAGATAACGGCACGTGCCTCGAGAAGAGAGCTTCTGTTGCAAGGGTGGGGTTAGTCCAGTGCATTGTGTGCATCAGCGTTTGATTTCATAGCGGTCTCTCTCCCTTCCCTTTTTGGCGATGGAGGCTTTGGAGGATTTTGATTCTTAAGACTGCATTTCAGACAGTGACGGATGGCCACTGTCCGTCTGGTTCGTGAAAAAAATAACTGTATGCGTGTACACGTGGGTGAGTTGACACTATGCCATGCGTTAGAGTTGAGGTGAGGGGGTGAGAGTAAAAATAATAATTTTCTCGTTCCTCTAGGTTCATTTGGTAGTCCATGATGTTTGAGTCGTCTAGTGGTTAGATTATTTTATAAACAAAAACAAAATTTTCGTCCAATTCCTATAGTAGTAGCCAAATAATAAATAAATAAATAATTATTTGTTTACTTTTATCACGAGACTCTACCAGTCGCTCTAAAAACTCAACGTGTCAGCTAGTGCAATTTTCTCCCATATCAACGTTAATTTTTTCCCGATAACCCCTCGGCTGAGCTGAACGTGCACGTGCTTGGGCTTAAAATGCCACGAAAATCCGTCATACCCTTTTTTTCTTCCTTCTAAAGAATGAGCTGCCGCATGAAGCACGAATTTAGCGGGAGCCTCGGGTGCGAATGCAATTTCCGTGTCGGGATAGAATTGAGGTGGCGACGGAGGCGACCTGTGCGGGGTGATTTTTATACGTATTGAAATTCATGGAGCTCCCAGAGTCGCGTGATGCGAGAACGTGATAAATGGCGCTTTATTCGACGAGGAAAAAACACTCCCCACATCGCTGCTCTTGATGTGAATTTGAATTTTATTTTTTCATCCATACTAAAATATATTGTGTACAAGGTACCTGATTGCATGAAATTCCACCACGTAAATGTTGTCTATCAATCTTATACTATATTAATTTGTGATTTTTTTTATCATTAAATTCATTACGTAAGAAATACGGTGCATACTTTGCGAATGTTCTACATGGACAGGTATAACAAAGGTGTAAACGTAAACTTGATATTTTTTTGAACATGACTGTACTCAATTTATCTTTACAATTGTACTTGTCAATATCTCGGCATCTTCCTGATAGCATCTTCCAGTTTATTCTATTACGAATAAATACAACTGATCGATACTCCCAAAGCTAGAGTACTTCTTTTTTATAAGTCGATTTATTTATTTATTTAATTAAAAGTATAAACTAATGTTCCGTGATATTGGTAAAGTACAAATTTTACAACTTTTTTCATCTGTATATTAAGGTGTTTAACATTCACCTGATAAATCTTCAATTTGTTATCAAAAGTCTTGACATTACCAGAATGAGATGAAAACGAAAAAAACATGTCAAGATCTACATTATGTTTGTATGAAAAGATGTAGAGCATTCAGTAAGCTTTTGTAGTAATTACTTTTTATCATGCACCTATAACAGTGCTTAGAAGTAAGACCTTTGTACAGTTTCAATTAAATCTTGAAATAATGTCGATTCAAAATCTGATTTCTTTTATTTTTATACTTTCTTATCAAATTTATGTGAGCAGTTATATGTATTGTGACATATTTATGAAATCAAGATAATAGCTAATGTAGGTATAAATAAGTATTAAATTTTATAGTAGTCTTATTCTTTTGTCAAACCTACTTCGGATCATTAGTAATAATGAAGCTATTAATTGTAGTGGTTTTTCTGTGCCTTACTACAGCATCGCGTGGTAAGTTAATTCTTAGCTTTAACTCTAACTTAAGTTTGATACAAACAAAATAAAAAATCAAATGACATTTTAAAAAAAAATTTTGAAAAATCATTTGAATTTGAATGGTTGATTTTTAAATTTAGTGTCGTAGTCTATTACACGTATGAAACGTCAAAATTTGAATGATATAGAAGTGAATCATGTGTTACAGCTGCTCCAAGAATTATGGGAGGGACAGATGCTCCCGACGGTAAATATCCATACCAAGTATCTCTGAGGGACCCACAATCAATGCAACACTTTTGCGGTGGATCGATTTTAAATAAGCGCTGGGTGTTAACGGCTGCGCATTGTATTACAGCGTAAGTACTTTCATAAGATCTGATTTAACTTATAAAGTGAATCATTTTCTTTACTTCAACTATTTTTATTCATACACGTATGTGTTTACTTATTTTAATTTTGACTTTATTTTTGAAGATTTAAACTTAGATATTCTATACAATTAAAAGCTACAAACACGAATAACTTTATTTCTGTTTTTGAAGATTCGTTGATCAAAATTATGTTGCTATTGCTGCTGGTTCAAACTTGCTCAAAGGAGGAGATGAACAAATTTACAATTCCGAATACGTCGTTTATCATGAAAATTTCGATGATAAACAGATAGTAAATGACATAGGATTAATTCGCGTGGATCGCGACATCACGATTGGTGAAAAAATAAAATATATTAGCCTGGCAAAAGAAGATTTCAGTCTAGACGATCGCTCAGCTGATTTGACTGGATGGGGCAGACTTTCGGTAACGACAAAATATTTTCAAATTATTTACTTAATCCCTGAATCGTTCTAAAAGATAATAATTTTGCAACAGAATGGAGGAGAATTCCCTAACAATCTGCAAGAGATTTCTCTCAAGGTCATCAATCAAAAGGAATGCATAAAATTTTGGGAAAATATGATACCCATAAGAGAATCACACGTCTGTACCTTTACCAAGGAGGGAGAAGGTAGCTGCCAAGTAAGTTTTTTATATAAATCAACTTCACAATTTTTGAAATTCAAAACGACGACTTAAACATACCAGAATTATATTATAAAAATCATTAATTACATTAGATTTGTTTAATTGAATTTTTTATCGCTTTTGTCTTACGATGAGGCTCTTGCAGTATGTATACTTGTCTATAGGTATTTTACACTGTCATTAACGAACCAAAAGTTAACACTTGGCTCACTAGCTTGGAACGTTTCGGTGCTGAAAATTAATGAAAATTACTGATTTATTTCCAGTCTGATTCCGGAGGCCCTCTCGTTATAGATGGACAACAAATAGGTATCGTTTCATTTGGTGTACCATGTGGTAAAGGATATCCAGACGTCTATACGAGGGTATCAAGTTTTCTTAACTGGATAGATGATACAATCAACAGGTACGAAAGTCATTTGCTGTGATCAGAGAATGAATCTTACATTTATTGGCAAGCCACTAAATATCCACATTTTTGTAAAGTTATAAAGTATTTATATTGCTTGTTGAATATATTTTACAATTCCTATAGTAGTAGCCAAATAATAAATAAATAAATAATTATTTGTTTACTTTTATCACGAGACTCTACCAGTCGCTCTAAAAACTCAACGTGTCAGCTAGTGCAATTTTCTCCCATATCAACGTTAATTTTTTCCCGATAACCCCTCGGCTGAGCTGAACGTGCACGTGCTTGGGCNAAAATTTATCTTAATTAAAAATAGAAATGTACGTGAAACAAAAGTTACACAAAAACATGTTGGCGTTGGTAATCTTAAGAACTATTAGTACTTACAACTGCTTGAAGGCAGTGTTCAGTCTGAGATTTAGCCCAAAGTAATTATTAAACAAAAGTTGTTTAAAACTCCAAATTATTGAAACTACTTAATTTTCTACCTAAATATCAAATTAATTTGTTTATTTGTACATTTTTATCGAAGATGTATGAATCCAGGGTAGTAAATTTATTCTTAAGACCGACGAAGATATCTCAACGCCAAGAATAATACAACGAAATAAAGACGTCTACAGAGCACGTTGTATGCTCGATAGTGACTGTGATTGATTAGCTACAGAAAGAGAAGGTACTGTGTAAGCGTGAGGTCCGATTTGTGCTCCCGCTACAGATTGATGCTGGAAAATGCGAGGGTGACTGTCGAGATGCTGTCTAGCATTTAATCAGAAGATAAAGGACAATCTTAATTTTTGGCCCCAATGCACGAGTAGGGAGTATCGATCGTTGTTTTTTTTTTTTTTTTTTTTTTTTTTTCTTACGGAAGGTAACAGGAGGAGGTGACTCATGTTATTCATCTTTGCAAACAATGTGGTGCCTAGCTTATGTATATACCAACTCTTTTATTTTTAATCAACACCAGAGATAATTTTTTTTTTCGCTCGCAAGTGAGACAGTATGTACCAAATTTGTACACTCGCATCGAAAAAAAACAGAACAAAGCCCCGGGAGGTTCTTGCTCGTATAAACTGCCCATTGAACGTTACACCATCCCAACTCCTCGAATCCGACAACGTCATCGCAAAGTAAATCCATCAGCCTCTCTGCTAACTCGCAACGTGTTCACGTATAAAACAAAAGCAAAGCGGGGGAACAGGAAAACAAAGCCGCGCCTACCCTAAGCTTACCGGGGAGCTCCATTTTACAAAATTGGCCTTGGCACCCATAAAAAATAGTCCCGCGCGACGATCTATTTTTACGACGCTTAGCGCTCGCCGTCTCTATCCTCGGGCATAAAAACCTTTACGCATCCGCTCGGCGAAACGAAAAAAACACTCTTCTGCGTCGCCCGGAAGGAAAAATTGAACGGTTTTCCCACCCCCCCGCTTTTCACCAGTATTGTAGTACATGCAAAAGTGACGCTTGTAGAGAGCCCCTTTGTCCCTCGTACATAGAGAAACTTTCAATTTGGAATTTTACGATTGTTGATAATAAGGGAGGTGGACCCCAGGTGGTGGTTTTCGAATCAACGGCGGTGACGACGACTGCAAAGTGTGCAACGAAAGAGGATCGAGGCGCACGCGGGAGAGAGAAAAGGGGGAGGTGGACCTTTTGTAAACAAGCCCTAATGCTCGGTTACGACTTTGCACTGCGCGAGACTCGCGAGTGGGTGCTCTCTCGAGAGCTTGTTCTTTATGATATTGCTGGATTAGGCTGAAATATTTCACACTCGAATGTATCTTACCTTTTACGACGTTTTCCTCCTTCTCCTCCTTTTCTTCTTCTTATTCTTCTCTCTGTGTATACCTTCACGTACTGCTTATCCAACGAACGCTTTTGGCGTGATGCTGATATCTCGTAAACGAGCTAGCAGCGATGAGACGCGCGTTTCCTCTTAAAACGAAGATACCGCTTAATTTTCATGGTAATAGATCTTGAAATACATTTATCTCTTTCCATAAATTTCGAAATCCCAATTAGGGGTACTTACGAAATAATTTGTCCAAGCTGAAAAGTGCTTCTTCCGTTTTCCGTCTTTAACACAGCTGCCGCTTGTCAATTGTTTAAGACGTGCTTTTTTTGTATTAAAAAAAATACAGCTCCTACTGTTCCACCTCCAAAACTTAATTATAATCAAAATAGGGCGCTAATATCGCGACGAAAGGAGCCGTAGGGGTGCCAAGACAGTGGGCGTCGTCGATAGCGGTGTAAATAATTGCTCCACGCGTATGCGTCGTCCGACGTTATCTCAAGCGCGATGAGTTATAGCTGCGCCTTCTGCTACTGTGCATCGCTTTGTGAAGGGTAGATTTCGAGTTGCCTGTCCCTGATGATTACGAGCTCTGGTGACTTTGGGGCTATTGAATGGAGGTTGCTATATTTTTTCATGCAAATTTATGAATTTGTTTCACTGTGCGAATGATTAATGGCACAAATCGACTAGGGGTATTTTCCTCGAGTGCACAGCTACACGTATCTTGCGATAGCAAAGAATTTGCAATAATCCAGAGACAAATCCACCAAATAAAACTCACATGAATTCTCAGAGCAAACGTATATACTGTTACCGGTTCCCTTTTGGTGCACAAATGCGTGCGATAAATAAAAAAAACATCAGAGCCCGAATGGTCCACAATAAAGAACACACGATTGAAGCTCACGTGCGATCAGTCATCGTCTCGCCCCTTTTCCATCATATCCACGTACGCAAGTCTAATACTCGGTGCGAATTATTAAACCACGAGCAAGCCAAATATTTCCGGGAGGGATGAAAAATGCCGCATCCAATTTCCCTGATGATGTCTCCGAGGGACGCCGCTCTCGTGCTGTTCTCTCGGACTTTTCTCTCTCTCTCTCTCTCTCTCTACCTCTCTACAGCCATCACCCTCATAAGCAACTGTTTGTGGGCGAGAGGCGAAGACAAATAGCCCGCGAGATAGCGCGCTTTATTCCCAGCCCTCTCTGGCTGATTGACATTTTTCTCTCTCGTCCTACCCTCTTTCGCGGCTTTTTCGAGCACCCCCCGCTCGCTTTACTTATTTCGTTGGGAGAAATACGTGCGACGCAACTGTCGGATGCAGTATTTGTTGTGTCCACCCAGGAGCACATGTGGCCGGTGCTTCGAGAAAAATGATCCTGCCTATCTTGTTTCGGCTTGCTTGTGCGTCAACGTCGCGCTTTCGCTCGATAAGTTAATTGCCCGTGGATTTGAATTATTCATCACATTGGGTGGACTGGTGTTTGCGTGCCAACGTCCACAGTGTGGGAAGTTACGGTTAGTTATTTTGGTTTACAATACAATACAAGCTGATGTAACGTGTTAGCTGCAATGGTTCAATAAGCAGATAACAGCAACCTTGCGTTTAACCTATTTTTTAACAAATACGCAAACATCGTTATGTTATCAGCTACTAATAATGAAATAATAACTTAATGTTGATAGTAAATCAATAGGCAGAAAGAAAAGTTGTAATAGAGGTAAATTTTTATTTGAGACATAATGTTTTCATAGCATTCAATAAAAAAATTACAAATCTACGCCTTGCAGCCCGTATACGCACAGCAAGACGTATTACAATCTACGAGTGATTATATTATGTATTATGATCTAAAAGTTATCAATTATTTGTTAATCCCGGTGAAAATTTCGATATTTTGGAATAAAGTTAGTGGAGCGCAGACCACAGCGAATTGCGCCCAACATGAGTAAGTTGTGACCGCTACGAACATCGCGATTACCGGAAGTACCACAATGAGTACGTCCTTCCGATTTTTGAGAAAAAACGTTTCGATGATTGTGTACAATATTTTTAACGTCACGATTTCGCTTCTGCATATGGCATAGGCCATTACACACATTACAAAGTCTACTCGTTCTGAACTCGTTAGTGATGACTATTGCCGACTTACGCGATTGACGCGCAACCTCGCAGAGCCGTTGATACAATAACTGCTGGGGCGTTCGTGCATATCCTTTAGCCGCTCCACTTATTTTCGCTCCATCGATCGAGATGAAAGAAGGGGCTACGTCACTTCTTTGACCTTTCGGCGCATCACGAAACAAGATTTTGTTGACAATTTTAAGAACGGCTATTCGCGTTTGAACAAATCTGTCGTATTTTAATGACACTATTGATCGTCTTTCGGCAATCGGCTGCCGACGAACAAATAGCCGTAGTCTTTTAACAAAGCACTTTGCCAACGCTCGACTTCCGAGTATGCTTTCTAGATTATTTTTTTCCTCTTTGGATCACCAGCCATCGCTCAGAAGGATTTGGACGTGATTTTAATTGGCGCCCCTGTGTTTTTCGAAAAACAGCCAATGAGTTGAAATTAAGATGCTTAACGCCGTAATTAAAAATGGGTATGGGTTTAAAATCGTTGCCGTGTATTTCGAGGATTCTTATCTGCAGCCTTTTGTAAAATTTTAAGTACCTCCACCAAAACTCTTCTACCACTTTTTCTCTCAGATCTAGAAGTTCATCATCCATTAGTTCACATAACGTGGATACGTCGGAATAATTATTTTTTACAAAGACCTTCTCACGTACCTCGTTCCATTCGTCTCTGTTAAATAGTCTTAAAACTTCTTTGTGGATGTGAGTCTTGATGTTAGTTTTCATGTGCATTTTAAATTGATCAGCTAAAGCAAGGACTAGATATTTGGTGTATGAGCGTTCAAAGTTTGTCTGCACGCCTTCTTTTTCAGCAATCGTCCGAAAACTTTCAAGCTCTTCATGGAACGCTGCTGGTACTTGGTATTTGCTTGGTTTGAAATTTTGCAGTAACTGGAAAATAATCTGTACCGACGGCTCACTATCAGAATTTGTGAAATAACGTGCGACGTGCGACAGATCTACTTTCATCGCGCAAGGCATACTTGAAAAAAAATGAAGCAACAACCACTAGTCGAGACAAAAATTTACACAAATCTCGAATTTCATCTCGGACTTGTTTGTACGGGCATATTTT